CAAATGTAGGCGGCAGCAGAGTTACATCTGATTCTCTCAGTGAAGTAGGGCAGATTAGGGAGAAGGCAAATTATTCTGTCCAAGCACGCGCTGAATCATTTAAACTTTTATTCAGTTTTAGTGCATTAAGTTCATCTTTCTGGCTTACTGAGCTTGGGTTTTGGGTGGACTGTTGCTTGTGAATGGATGTGGGGCAGGAAAACTTGGATGCAAGAAGAAACGTGTTGGGTGTCCCCCGCTGCCAGTGAACCAGTCAGGTTGTGTTTCTGGACACCAGTTTAAGAACTCCCTCTTGGACACTCTCTTTCCCCTCTCTCATTATCACTTGTCATCTGTTCCTACATCCCTCTGCTCCTACATTCCTGCTTACGGTAAAGAATAACAATGCCAACAACGGCATCTGGTTCTTGTTATATTAGGGTTTAATCACTAAGAAGCAAAACAAATGCAGATTACAAAAAAAAAAAAAAAAAGGTTTTACATTTACAATGCTAAATGCAAGAATGTACACACGTCAGCACAGTAAATAGTGACTTCAAAACAATAATTCTTCATTTTAAGTATTTGGGCAGTGCTTAGTTTAAAAAATAGTTAAAAGTGTTTGGTAGACATGTTCTTTGTTTAGTGGACTTTAATAAGTTCATATGTGTACACATTATTAAAGGCACAATATGTAAGATTTTTCAATTAAGATATCCAAAAACCACTAGAACAGTGTTATACAGTTTGCCTGCCAATGACGTCATAACCCCTCGATTTCCGGTTTTGTTTTGTAGAAAACATGGAAACACCAAAGACGCTTTAATATGTTGTGCATTTTAATAGACCGGTGACGACCGCACAGAGTAGCATTATAACAGAACTTTCAAATGTATCTAGTATGATAAAACAGCGCTGCTTTTTTTCCCACATACGCGCGACCGGAAGAAGCGGAAGCAGTCGACTGTGGCATAATAAAAGCGCCGCTGCTTTCAAGCTCGTTCAGCGGCCTCGTTTCGCTTCGACGGCTTTCAGCCTCACCCTGCTTCATTCTACTACGTTAATAAATCATTAGCTCGTCCATGAACATGATTTCTGCCCGAGTCCCGTCGGATTGCATCGGCTGTGGGGATGAAGATGACAACTCCCATGATTCCACACTCAGTCACGGCGTCATCAAACTACACCTTTGTCTATTTATTTATTTTGAATACGCGCCCTCTAGCGTCGATAATTACATATTGTGCCTGTAACAGCATTAATTTTTGAATAAAAAAGTTTTTAAAAAGGTTAAAGACAATTTACAGTGTAACTTTGAACAATGAAAAAATTTAAACATCGAAATGACTTTAGACTCTTCTGTGAAGAGACAGAGCTACAGAAATCAAGGTGAAATGCAAATATTTAATGTCTATCTTTTATATTTACTTATATAATATTAACATGTATTGATGGGTTTTAGGATGGATATACATGTACATGACATACGTGACCCTGGAGCACAAAACCAGTCTTAAGTCGCTGGGGGATATTTTTAGCAATAGCCAAAAAAACTTTGTATGGGTCAAAATTATCGATTTTTCTTTTATGCCAAAAAGACCCTTATGACTGATTTTGTGGTGCAGGGTCACATATATGTCCAAAAATGTATTACACAAACACCTCTGTGTGCTAGATAGAGTCATGGCCAAAAGTTTTGGCAGTGACATAAATTTTGTGTTTTGCCAAAGTTTGCTGCTTAAGCTGTTGTGGTGTTCGTTCACATTGTTTATAGATTATCGTGTAGAGTGACCAAATGCATTTTAAATAATTGCTAAAAGCTTCATTGGCCAAAAAATTAACTTTTATCTGCTTAAACTGTTGTGGTGTTCATTCACAAAAAAACTAATTTCACTCTTTTTTGATCCTGACACAAAGTGACCAGGTAAAATCACTACCATACTCATTAGATTGTAAGAGCAGACTGATTGCTATAAAAGGAGGGAAGAAGCGCTTCCAATCATTGTGTTCTT